TAATACTTCTTACACTTTTATCTAATTTTAACCTTGCAATAACTCTGTAAGGAAGCTGCTGTTGTCATCCATTATTACACCACCTTACAGAGATGAAGTGGATGCTTAAAGAGGCTAAGTTGCTTAAGGTCACATGGTTAGTGAGTGGTGGAGCTAGGATCACATTCAGGTCTGATGCTAAAACTTAGGTCTTCACCACTGTGCTGTAGGCTCTTCTCTCTCTTACCCAAACTCAAGGGCTGTGTTGTCATTCCTAAGCTGTGGGGTTAGGGTAATTTGCTGATATCCTTTCTGCCCCATAATAAGGTACAGTCATCCCTCAGTATCCACAGGGGATTAGTTCCAGGACCCCTGTGGATACCAAGCTCCTCAGATGCTCAAGTTTGTTAGATAAAATGGTGTAGTATTTGCGTATAACTTATAAACAACCTCCTGTATATTTTACTTGTTTAATTTAAATTTTTAATTTTGAAAAAATGAGCCAGGCGTGGTGGCTTACGCCTGTAATCCCAGCACTTTGGGAGGCTGAGGCGGGTGGATCACCTGAGGTTAGGAGTTCAAGACCAGCCTGGCCAACATGGTAAAGCCCCGTCTTTCCTAAAAACACAAAAATGAGCTGAGCGTGGTGGTGTGTGCCTGTAATCCCTGCTATTTGGGAGGGTGAGGCAAGAGAAGTGCTTGAACCTGGGAGGCGGAGGTTGCAGTGAGCCGAAATCATGCCACTGCACTCCAGCCTGGCAACAGAGTGAGACTGTCTCAAAAGAAAAAAGGAAAAAAAAAGAGAGAGAGAGAGAGATGGGGTCTCACTATATTGCCCAGGTTGGTCTTGAACTCCTAGGTTCAAGTGATCCTCCTGCCTCAGTCTCCCAAAGTGTTGGGATTTCAGGTGTGAGCCACCGTGTCTGGCCTTTCCTGTATACTTTAAATCATTCTAAATTACTTAGAGTGCTCCTGACTATCCTTGGGGAGAGAGTCCCTTATGTGGGTCCCCTCATTTCCCCACCCCCACCCAGTTTCCTTACCTGGCCACTTGGTTGATGACAGGAGCAAAGTAGGTGGGCCCATAGAGCTGCACTGTGCGCAGGCTCTGGAAATAGCTCTCCAGCACACCCTCAATGCCTGCACAGTTGGGGTCCTCATCATTGTTGTTCTGTCAAAGAATAACCCCTGCTAGGCTGAGCCCATGCAGGGTACACCCAGGAGTGCTCTGATCCCAGTTCACTCCTTCCATTTTCCATCAGTCCCTTTCATGCTCCCCTCCAAACCCAGCCCTGCTCCACTCCCTGCTCTGCAATTCTCTCATAGCTTCCTGTTCCTCTGCATGCCCTTTGAAGAAATGTAAACAGAACAAAATCATCAACTTGGGTGGGCCAGATGCCAGGGAATGGAGGGTAGGCTCTGGCCCATACCATACCAGGGGGAACTGGTGGGAGATCCGTCCCTCTGGGGGCAGCTTGGCCCCAAAGCCATAAGCTGGGAAGAGCTTGTCGCTGTCATAGTCCTGGATGATCTCTCCCACTGCCTTGAGCGCCATGGCATAGGCACTGAGCTGGTAGGGACTCATGTAGTGCAGGGAGGTAGGCTGCAGAGGATTCCCTGTAGGGGCACAGGAACCCCAGCCTCATGATCATTGGATCATCCATCTGTTCACCTGCTTATCTTTGTGTGCATTCATTCACCTATATCCATTTATCTGCCCTCTACCCATGCCCTCCCTCCTTATTTTACCCAATCATCCATTTGTTCATTTATCCATCTGTCCACCCACCCATCCCTATACCTATTTATCCATTTACCTACCTACCCACACATCCATCCACCCATCTACCTGGTTATAGATCTATATTTAAGTCTACTTATGCATCTTTATCCACTAATCTCTCCATTCTCTTATACAGCTATCCACTTACCCACTCATCCATCCATCTGTCCATCCATCCACCTACCCACTCACTTGTCTACTTGCCATTTTTCTTCATTTGCCATCCAGTTATATAGCAATATTATTTTATCCATCCAGCTAGCCAGCCCTCTATGTTCCATTCATTCTCTTGTCTATTCTCATACGGATCCATCCACTCATGCATTTCCCCTAGCTAATTACTTGTTATTTCCCCAACTTAAACTTTGGTCCATTTGTCCACCCACATACCCATCCATGCATCTACTTGTCTAACCTATTATACTTACTCACCAACCCATCTACCCACTCCATTTCTTCATGGATCTATGCATCCATTCATGACTCACCACCTATTCACTTATCCATATCTCCTTATACCCCCTTTCTCTCTCATCCATGAGTCTACCCACCCACCTGTTGAGCTATCTATCCTTTCAACCTTCTATGATTCATCTACTCATCTATTTTTCTACACTCTATTTTCCTGGCTGGGTTTTGCCTAAGTTTGGGCTTCTTGGGTAGGTAAACTCTTATCCCTAGGTAAGAATCCAGACCACTTCCTAATGACTCCCTTAGATGTCCCTTCCCACCTCCCCCTTGTTCCCTCATTCATGCCTCACCATTGGAAGCTGTGAAGTCAATAGCTACTGTGAAGTTCAGCTGTGTCCTGTTGGGGAAGCAGATGAGTTGAGGGGTGAGGAACTAATAATTATTACATCACTATTTCTCAAACAACAATGTACATATGGATCACCTGGGGCTCACGTTAAAAGGCAGATTCTGATCCAGATGGTCTGGGTAGGGTCTAACAAACTCCCAAGTAATGCTGATGCTGCTGGCTCATGGACCACACTTCAGGTAGCCGAATTAAATGTCTACTGTGTGGCAAGTGTATTAAATGTCATTTAATTTAACCCTTACTATAGCCCTGAAGTAGTAATTAATATCCCCATTTGGCTGGGTGCGGTGGCTCATCCCTGGTGGATAATACCAGCACTATGGGAGGCCGAGGTGGGCGGATCACCTGAGGTTGGGAGTGCAAGACTAGCCTGATCAACATGGAGAAACCCTGTCTCTAATGAAAATACAAAAAATTAACCGAGCGTGCTGGCGCATGCCTATAATCCCAGCTACTCTGGAGGCTGAGGCAGGAGAATCACTTGAACCTGGGAGGCAGAGGTTGTGGTGAGCCGAGATCTCGTTATTGCACTGCAGCCTGAGCAACAAGAACGAAACTCCTCTCTCTTTTTTTTCTTTATTTTTTATTTTATTTTATCATCCAGCCCAAAATGTCAGAAACTCCATCTCAAAAAAAAAAAAAAAAAAAAAAATCCCCATTTTACATAAGAGAAAAGTGAAGTGCAGAGAAGCAAAGTACCTTTCCCAGGTCTGCCTGCCTCCTCCAGACCAAGCAGAATATCCCCTATAGTCTGCTTGGTTTTCCCACTCTCTCTACCTTTCCCTCTTGCCTGACTATAACTTTGTTTGGGCTCCAATTAGGTTACTGGGGCCACCAATGAAGACCACTGGTCTGGGAGCCATCTTCCCAGGAGGAGCTGAAAGCTAAGAATGAAAGGCAGCCCCATGAAGGGAACTAAGAGGAGTAGTATTTTGCATTTTACAGAGCACTTTGTAGTTGGCCAAGTGTTTTAAAATTTATCTCCATGTCACTAGGCCCTGACCATGCATAAATAAGAAACCTGGGGCTCAGAACTGGGAGTAATTTATTGTCAGGCTTTCAGCCCAGAGTTTGGCCTGTGACTCACCCTCCCTTGATGTAATCAACAAAAGTGAATTCAGAGTCCACAGAGAAGGAGAGCAGCGTCACCTGTGGGACAAAATAGGCAGCCCTGTTACTTTGGAAAAGGCAGTCGGGGTGGCGGAAGGGAGTGAGGCACATGGGGTTTTGGAAGGAGGCACGTGATGGGAGGCAAATGATTCCACCCGCTCCCCCAGCCAGCCCCACCCTGTTCAACTTCCCACAGGGAAAAAAGGGGAAGCTATCAGAAACATAGTTGGCTTTCCAAAAGTATATTAAATTGGGAAATGCAACTTATTTTTTCTTTCATTCTGCAAAAGAGTAAAATCTGAAAAATTTCCTGAGAAAAAAACAAAGAAAAAGTTAAGTGGTGCTCCTTGTGGCTAACATTACTATTCCAAGTAATCTGTGCCCACTGTCCTGCCTTGCCCTCAACATTTGTCATGCTATGTCAGTGGGGACAGACACGGAAGGATCCAGGGAGGGCTGCAGCTCCAGGGAGCACTCACAGTTCCCGAGTTGACATATTTCTTCTTCTTACATTTCTTCCGAGGGTTAAGGACCTAAGTGGAGGTAACAGTGATGATAAGAAACAAAGAGAGGTCCAGACTGAGCACACTGGGATGGAGGGCCTGGGTGACCTGGGCAAGGCTGGAATGCTCACCTCATATACTGTGAACTGGTTCTGGGCCTTGCTCAGCTCCCGGTAGCTGGTAGTGAACTCACCAATGAAATCGTGGCTGCAATGAGGTAGGCATGGCTAAACAGCAGCTGCTGCTGGTTTGGAACCAGACCTGAAACCAATCTTTTATTCCTCCTATCCTAAGCCCCTACTTAGGCTGCAGGGCACTAGTGCTGGGGCCAGAAGGGAGGCCAAACATAGGGAAAAATGGGAAGAGACAGTGTCCGAGAGACAATGGGGGGATCAGTTTTACCCAAGACACTGGTGTTTATCGTCACCTTTCCTGGCTCCCAAAGCTACTTTGGGGTTCTCAGTGAATGTACAACATATTATTGAGAACTGCTTGGGTCAAGTACAGGAGAAGGGACCATGTGGGGCAGTTCTACCTTCCATCCCGGTCCCAGTCGTACACATCAATCTTCACTGTTCTGAAATGTAGGAGATAAACATATGCTGAGTGTGTATGATAAACCCCAGAGACACCTCATACACTTAACCATACACATATCACCTCCCCATCCACCAATTCGTCTTTCCATTAACTTGTTCATCTTTAAACCTACCTCCCATCCCATCCTGTCTTATTCATTCATTAATCCATGCCTGTACCCAACCATCTACCCCTATTAATACTACTGCTGTTAGTACCACGAGTACTTTTTTTTGTTTGGTTGTTTTTTTTTTTACCACTCTGAGCTTTACTGTATTCCAGGCATTGTTCTCAGCACATTCACAGACTGTCTCGTTTAACTTAACAATCACCCTATGTAAAGTAAGTACCATTATTCTTATTTTGGGATAAAGAAATTGAGATTAAAAAAAAAAAAAGTAATTTGGCTAAGATCCCGTAGCTAGTAAATGACTGAACTGAGATTTAAACTCAGGCATCCTGATTCCAAAGACTTTGTTCTTAACTGTCATGCCTAAATCATTCTGCATGTCTACCTACCAGTGTATCAGCCCATCCAACCGTCTATCTATCCATCTAGCTACCTATTTACCCATACATTTGCCAGTCCAATTTCCTATCAGTTCATCTCTTTAGCCACCTAGCTATACGTTTAGCCATTCATTGACTCACTGAGGCATGCAAGCATCCATCTGTCTGTCTATTCATCTACCCAACTATATAACATCTATCCATCTGGTTATCCACTCATCAGCATAGCCATTCATCTACTCATCTATGTGCCCATCCATTCTTCCAGCCTCCCACCTACCATCTACCTTTATATTACCCATTTACTCACTCATTTGGTTTGCCTATCCATCTACTTTATACCCATCTATCAACTAATTCACCCACAAATCCATCCATTCATCCATTTTCCATCTATTCACCTATCCAACCATCAATCCGCTTGTCACTCTACCTATCTTTTTGTATTCCTCCTGCTTTTCCATTCATCTTCCTGCCTCCCCAGTCATCCATCAAACTCTCATTTATTCATTTATCACCCACCCACTCATCCATCAGCTCATCCATCTGTTAATCACCCATCATCTGTATATCCACAAATCCACCCATCAGTCCAATTATCCATTCATCTGCTATCCATTCATTTATCTGCCCTTCTGCCCACCCACCAATTCACTTATATATCCATCCACATACATATCCAGCCATTCACCAGTTTACCTATCCAACAATCCATTCATGTATCTGCTTATTATTTGTTCATCTCCCCTTTCATCTACTTTCCACCTACTATTCCATCCATCAGTTGATCCATCCCTGGGTAGTCCACCTATCCATCTGTGTGGCTCAGTTGATCCATCCCTGGGTAGTCCACCTATCCATCTGTGTGGCTCAGTTGATCCATCCCTGGGTAGTCCACCTATCCATCTGTGTGGCTATTCATCTGCCTCTCCTTCCACCCAACCTCATGTCCCAAACTGTCTCACTGAGCAGGACCATCCAATGCTATTAGGATACTTCTACTATTATTCTTGGGCCCAGGAACTCCACTGGCATGTCCTTGGCTCCTTACTCCCCAGCTTATGCTGAAGCCAACCTGTCATAGTCTCCATTGCACAGAGCCCGCACAGGGATGCTGAAGGGCTGCCACACAGGATTTAGCGTGTTTTTCACAACCTCTGTCTTGTGGCAGATGGTGAACCTGGAGGAGAGTGGGAGGGATTGGTATAATTTATCTCGTGACCAGGGGTAGGACTGAATCCAGAGACAGAGCCCGATGCTCTCAGAGATTCCTGAGATCCCCCATTTGTGAAGCACATGTCCCCCACCCCCAGTCTAAGAGTCCTGATGGCAGTGACTCACGTGCCATCTTCATTGCTCCTGTAGAACACAAGGAAGGGGTCTGATTTCCCAAAGAAGTCCTTCTTGTCCAGCTTGTTTGCACACAGCTGCATAGTGGCAATGTCCTAGGGATGGATGAAGTTCGGCTGGTGACATCCAAATTGCCCATAGCCTTCAGACAGTCCATTAAAGGGCTTATGGGGAGAGAAGGGAGCTCCTGGGTCTAGCATGTGGCCCTTACTGACCCGACAATTGCTAAGCTCTTCTGCAGTCAGCAGTATGGTCCCACACTTCTTGCCTGGTACACCCCTGGAAGCAGAAAAAGCCTCTTAGTGAGAGGAGGGAGGGTAGGCAACAAGGACTGAGTCTAGTCTGGGGTTAGGTGGGCCAGGGGATTCAGTCCCTTCTGTCTTGAATGCCTTCTGGTGAGGAAGGCCCTCACTTTGACTGGGTGGGGTCTATAAAAAGGGCTCAGACCAGCTTAGGTGAACATCTTACAACAGTAGTGTGAGAAAGACATGGGATTTAGAGTCAGTGGATTTTGTGATTGTTAAGCTGTGTGACCCTGGGCAAGTTATTTCCCATTCCTCGGCCTTAGTTTTTTTCTCTGTGAAATGGGAATAATGATGACTTGTCAGGGCTGTGAAGAGATCTGAATGGGTGCATGGAAGGAAAAGCAACTCGTAAGCTTTACAGATATGAGCTGGTTTTACTCTTCAAAGCAGACTCTGGTTCCTACTATATGCCGGGTGCTGTGATAGATACGAATTGGGCAATTGGCACTCTCCAGCTCTGCTAGACTGCCTGCAGGGAGCTTTGGGGGCAGGGGGAGGTGGAATGTCAAAGCCAATAGATAAGCAGAGTGGGTTGTAGCGATGCTGAATAAGGGAGAAGAAGTTCTGTCCAGAGCCAGGAACAAAAGGGCGGTTTGTTAGGTCAAAGCTGATGTGCTTTCTGAAGACCATGGAGAGGGAGATTTTAAAGACAAGGGGACCTTATCCTTTCCTGATCCTAGAAGGAGCACTTCCATGTGCTTGAACAATGCATACAAGGACCCCTATTCCCAGCAGTAAGAGACCTTGTTGATAGGGGCCTGCAAACCCTGATTCCCAAAGGGATCCGAAATGTGGCAGAGAGAAAACTAGGGTCCTGGGTCCCAGTACTGGCTCTAACTTGCTATGTGATTTTCCCTATCCTTAGAATGAGAGCTGAACTATTTCTTTTTTTTTTTTTTTTTTTTTTTTTTACCCGGTCTAAAACATCCTTTTATAGCAGAGTTGAACTATTTCTTTGGCTCCTTTGGTCTTTGACTCTTTGTGCTTTACAAAGTGGGACTTTGATGAGGATAGGGACTATTCGCCTACAGCTGGGCATGGTGGCTCACACCCGTAATCCCACCACTTTAGGAGGCTGAGGCAGGTGGATTACCTGAGGTCAGGAGTTCGAGACTAGCCTGACCAATATGGTGAAAGCCCGTCTCTACTAAAAGTACCAAAAAAATTAGTCAGGCATGGTGTCGGGCACCTGTAATCCCAGCTACGTGGGAGGCTGAGGCTGGAGAATCACTTGAACCCAGGAAGCAGAGTTTGTAGTGGGCTGATCAAGTTCTTGCACTCCAGCTTGGCCAACGGAGTGAGACTCCATCTCAAAATAAATAAATAAATAAATGGATAATTTGCCTGAACATCTGGGACCAACAAATTGTTGATCCTGTTGCCTTCTTACTGTTCTTGGCCTCCTTGATGTTCTCCCTTACCACCTTATCCATCCAGTGTGAATTCCAGTCAGTGATTATAATAGTCATTCCCTTGCATCCTGTGTATTTTCCCCTTCTCTCAATTTTTTTTTTAAGAGTTGGGGTCTCAGGCCGGGTGTGGTGGCTCATGCTTTAATCCCAGCACTTCGGGAGGCCGAAGAAGGTGGATCACCTGAGGTCAGGAGTTTGAGATCAGCCTGACCAACATGGAGAAACCCTGTCTCTATAAAAACAAAATTAGCTGGGCATGGTGGCACATGCCTGTAATCCCAGCTACTCGGGAGGCTGAGGCAGGAAAATCATTTGAAACCAGGAGGTGGAGGTTGTCGTGAGCTGAGATCATGCCATTGCACTCCAACCTGGGTAAGAAGAGTGAAACTCTGTCTCAAAAAAAAAAAAAAAAAAGAGTTGGGGTCTCACCCTGTTACCCAGGCTGGAGTACAGTGGCACAATCATAGCTCACTGAAGCCTCAAACTCCTGGACTCAAGAGATGCTCCCACATCAGCCTCTCAAGTAGCTGAGACTACAGGTGCACAACACTACACCTGGCTAAGTTTTTAATTTTTACTTTTGTAGAGACAAGATCTGGCTATGTTGCCCAGACTGGTCTTGAACACTCTGGCCTCAAGAGAGCCTCCTGCCTCAACCTCCCAAAGCGCGTGGATTACAGGCATGAGCCACGGGCCCAACGTTTTCTCTCACTTTCGCTATACTTACTTGGCAGAACCACAGCTGTAATTAAGCCTAACTCTGCCTAACCCATACTGCACCTATGAAACTGAACAAGGCCAGACAAAAACACGCCATTATGTGAACTTGTGTCATTTTAAATGCATGACTGTGGACCTCAAGAGGATCCTTAATGCTGCCTCAGAGTCATACTGTACATCCTGAGACCCTTCACTCTCCAGTTCTGGTAGATGGCAGTTTCACTCCTCCTTTCTCCTCAACCCCTAAAACCTCCTCCCCCATCCTTATTCTCAGCCAGTGACCTTGTTTCCTACTCACTGACAAAATTGAAGCAACCAGAAGAGAATGTCCACCCACCATGACACCTACGCTGCCACCAGTATCTTCACCCACACAAGTGTGACTCCTACAGTTGCTATAAATGAACTGTCCTGTGCCTATTTATCCTTCCACCGTGTACTACATTTCATACTGTCTTGTCTGAACAAGAAAATCACTTCAGTAATGTTCACCTCTTTCTATTACATCAAGTTTTCAGTTTCTACTCGGGCATTCCCATCAATATGTAAATGTGGTATAATTTTGGAGAGATGGAGTCTCACTATGTTGCCCAGGCTGCTCCTGTACTCCTGGGCTCAAGTGATCCTCTCACCTCAGCCTTCAGAGTAGCTGGGATTGTACTACACCTGGCCAGTGTGGTATAATTTGTCTCATGTTAAATTTTTTTTTTTTTTTTTCAGAAGGCGTCTCGATTTGTCACCCAGGCTGGAGTGCAATGGTGTTATCTTGGCTCACTGCAACCTCTGCCTCCTGGGTTCAAGCGATTCTCCTGCCTCAGCCTCCCTAGTAGCTGAGATTACAGGCACACTCCACCACGCCCAGCTAATTTTTATATTTTTAGTAGACATGGGGTTTCACCATGTTAGCCAGGCTGGTCTTGAACTCCTGACCTCAGATGATCCGACTGCCTCGGCCTCCTAAAGACCCGGCATAGTGGCTCACATCTGTAATCCCAGCACTTTAGGAGGCCGAGGCAGCTGGATCACCTGAGGTCAGGAGTGAGCCACCAGGTCTGGCCTTGTGTTAAAAAATTATAAACTTACTCTTGACCTCACTTCCTGCTTCAGCCACATCTCCTTTCCTTTTCTCTCTCTCTTTTTTTTTTTTCTTTTCTTTTTTGAAACAGAATCTGCCTCTGTTGCGCAGGCTGGAGTACAGTAGCACAATCTTGGCTCACTGCAACCTCCTGCTTCTGGGTTCAAGCGATTGTTCTGCCTCAGCCTTCTGAGTAGCTGGGATTACAAGGGTGCACCACCACTCCCAGCTAATTTTTTTGTATTTTTAGTGGAGGTGGGATTTCACCATGTTGGCCGGGCTGGTCTGGAACTCCGGACCTCAAGTGAACCACCCTCCTCGGCTTCCCAAAGTGCTAGGATTACAGGTGTGAGCCACGGTGCCTGGTCACACATCTCCTTTTCTCTTCTCCGCTTTGCTGTAAAACTCCTTGGAAGATTTCTTGACTCCCATCCTCTTCTTCCGTTCTCTTCACCTCCGCCTCTCCTTCAAAACTATGCTTGTAAGAGTCACCAGGGACTGGGTGCGGTGGTCACACCTGTAATCCCAGTGCTTTGGGAGGCGGGCGGATCACCTGAGGTCAGGAGTTTGAGACCAGCCTGATCAACATGGTGAAACCCTGTCTCTACTAAAAATACAAAAATTAGCTGGACTTGGTGGTGGGTGCCTGTAATCCTAGCTACTCAGAAGCCTGAGACAGGAGAATCGCTTAAACTGGGAGGTGGAGGTTGCAGTGCTGAGATCGCGTCATTGCACTCCAGCCTGGGCAACAAAGAGTGAAACTACGTTCAAAAAAAAAAAAAAGAGTCACCAGGGATTTTCATCTTGCTAAATGCAATGGCCAATTCCCATTCCTCATCTGAGCTGCAGCAGCATTTGATGTGGTTGGTAACTCTCTCCTTGATACCCTTTTCTTTGCTTCCATGATGACATCAGCCTCTCTTGCTTCTCCTCCAACTTCATTAATTGCTCCTTCTCAGTCTTCTTTTCCAGGTCCAATTTGTGGACCCTCAGTCTTTGGTTCTCTCTCTCTAGTCTCTCTCTCTCTCTTTGTTTCTCCTGTCATTCCTTCCCTCCTTTGGTGATCTCATCTAATAGCATAGATTTAAAGTTAACATCTAAGGCCGGGCTCAGTGGCTCATGTCTGTAATCCCAGCACTTTGGGAGGCCAAGGCAGGAGGACCACTTGATGACAAGAGTTCAAGACCAGCCTGATCAACACAGTGAG